TCGGTGGACCATCTGACAAACGCTCCGTGTTGTCTGGACGCAAACTGAGCTTAAATGTGTTCATTTTTTTTAACACGTTATTTTTGCTGTAATTAATTAATTAATTAATGGTAATTAAGGCGTTAAAGTCCCACCCCTGGTTTATATACAGGTGTGATACCACAACATCAGTGAACCGCTGGTCCGATGGCACCACACAAGGAGGTATCAATAAAGTTTTATTCTATTCTATCTGGTTTGGTTTGTAGCTCTGCTCATGAGATAAAGAAGCTAAAGTCCTCCATCCAGCTGCATGGTAATCCCTCTGCTGCTGCCTGTAAGACACTGGTCCTCCTCCTCCTCCTCCTCCTCCTCCTCCTCCTGCTGCTGCTGCTGCATGCAGAGACGTAAAGACCAGCCTCCATAAGTCGTGTTGCTAACCCATCCATGTTCTATAGCTCATGTGCCGCCCCAAAATAATCTGATGAGAACAATTTCAGAAACACATATTGTCCTATTTTGGGAGCGTACAACTGTTTGGTTTCATAACTGACTTGTGCAATTAGGAGGGGACTAACCTCTGATCCCTGCTGCCATTTGTGATTTATCCACTGACATAAACAGTGAGCCAGCATTTCATTTCACTTCAGTAATCCCCCAAAATAAAACAAAAGCCAAATTGTGCCTGTTCCCCAGTGAGCACGGGGGATTATCGAACCTCCGCCGTCCACAGGAGAAGCTAAAAGACACAGAAATCACTAAACCCCACCCGCCTCCTCAGAACACAGGCGGGCAGCAGGTAGAGCTTCTGGGATACCTCCAGTGTGAACAGGACGTTACCTTCTGAGACGTAGGCGAAGGGTTTGTTCCTGACGGACAGTAAGGTCAGCAGGTTGAAGAACAGAGCGACGAAGGTCCCGACCAGCAGACGGCCGCTGCAGAGGGAGACGGACAGCGTGATTACATCCTCAAAAACACCTTTAACCTGCAGCTTTAATGAAGGAATCAACAGTTCATTGGTTCACTAGAAAGTCTACTTCCACATCGCCGTCCGTGGTCTCCAGTTAAAGCTCTGCTAATTAATCTAAAGCTGATCTGAGGACAGTTCTGGAGCTGAAGGATCTCCAGCAATAAGAAAAGCATCAAGGAGGATGGAAATCACTTTGGAACACATTTAGGAGCAGAGTTGGAAAGAAAAAGATGTGTCCAGAAGTGTATAAAGAGCCCATCCTCTGCACATCCACAGGTTCTACTAAAATACATTCACATTCAAACCCCGAGTAGCTCTTCTGTTTTTTATCTTCTCTCTCACTGTGGCCTCATTTTTCACTGCAGGATAAAGTCCTGCACCTTTAGGAAACAGAGCAGCCATGAAGAAGGAAAGAGAGAATTTGACTAAACATAAAATAGAACCAGCATGTACATGGTTTTTCCAGGTGTCCACAGGTGCTACCAACCATGGAAGAGGTGGCGGCTCTACACACACACATGGACCAAACAGCTGGTACCGCTCGGTTTATGAGAGAAAAACCCACAACGGTCACAGAAACAACTTGAATCTGACAAAAGTAATAACAAATAACAATTCTATGAAAATGAACCAATGAAGATCAGACGTTAGTTTTTAATTGTTCTTAGAATTGTTTTAAAAAAATAAACTCATGACACAGTTCTGGACTAAATGATGGGATGATTTTCATAGAATTTTTATTTATTACTTTTGTCAGATTGAAGTTGTTTCTGTGACCGTTGTGGGTTTTTCTCTCATAAACCGAGCGGTACCGGCTGTTTGGTCCGTGTGTACGAGAACTGTTCTACGACTTGATGAACTGGTTTCTATCCGCTCTGTGTGAACACTGCCTGGAGCTGAGCTGAGATCTTTCTGTTTAGTGAAACGGGCTGCAGGTGGCGCTGTGGTTAGCACCGTTAGCGCCTCGCAGCTAGAAGGTCGCCGGTTCACGTCCCGGTGAGGACACCCGGGTCTCTCTGCGTGGAGTCTCCATGTTCTCCCCGTGCAGCGTGGGTTCTCTCCCTACAAGACTATAGATGACCGGAACAATGACAAAGTATCGCCCCACTAATCAGCCAGGGTGATAACAGGTCTACCCCAAGTGTCTTATGTCATCAGAACGGTGTCAGATACGAGCAGACACTACATCGGATCAGAAGCTGAACAGACTTGGTGCTAGCTACATGAGCAGCGTGGTTTTTATGTGTAAGGTGGAGTCACAAACGACAACACACTGATTGTTATTAACAGGAAGCAAATCATGTCCAGAGAATTTTGCTTTTTCTTTCTCAGGACACAAAACTTTCTTTTTTTACTCTATCTGCTGTATTTGTCGTTTCCAGCGCTGCTTGTGTCACATTTACCTTCAACAAAGTCCTTAAAACGTAGTAATTCATGTGGAGGGGACGTGTTTTGTCCCAAAAAGAGAGCCGAGTCACCACAAACAGCTTTGTATCCGCACACCACAGTAACACACACACAGCTGTGGTCTCCAATACACTAATCACATGGGACAATCCATTTAAGAGCCTAAAAATTGGTCCAAACAATCAGCGGGAGGCGACGGGCTGCCCAACGGTGAGCCGCGCTAACGGGATGAACCCCCCGACTCCCTCACAGCACAGATTAAAGAGAGAGACAACGTGTGAGTCCGTCCGTCAGCCCGTCCGTCGCCCGGCAGACACCTGTCCCTCCGGTTAGCCGCCGTCCTTCATGCCGTCCAATCGCATCCATTCAGAGAAGAGGAGGGAGCCGGCGAGGGAGGAGGGGGAGGGGAGCGAGGAGGGGGGAGGTAATCTCGTCACAGGAGACAGGTTTAAGTCTCGCTGTGTTTTAGGTTATAAAAGCCGCCACTAATCTGTTTTATAATGGAGAGACGATGGAGGCAGAGGGCGGACACAGAGTCCGGCCGCCGGGCCACAGAGGAGGACGGAGGGAGACGGACCGACGAAGCCGCCGGGCGGGCACATTAAAGGGCTGATCAATAATCCATTTAATCCCAATCAGTATTCATTTTACACGCTGTCTCCGTGACAACTCAATATCCTCTGAGGCCTCAGCAGATCGACCTGTTGCTGCCGTCTGCTGCCACTAGGGGGCAAAAACAAAAAGGATTGGATTCTTTTACTTGCGTTGGTGCCGCTGTTGATTCGTTGTGCTTTAACCCCTGCTGGGAAAAGACTAAAACCGAGCCCTGTTGCATCACCAGTGCTTCCTCATTCCTTCCTGGTTCAACCTTTCAACCAATCAGCACTCGACGGTATCTCTGCGTAGCATCATTACCAGGTGGCAACACACGGCTGGCTGGTGGGATGACGGCGTGTTGGGTGCATTCAAACCCGTACGCAGAGAGCTACACAAACGTTAGCAACCTGAAGAAATGGTGTTTTAAAATGTTTATAGCCTGCAGATTAGCGGTGGGCAACATAGCTAAAACGTTTAGCAGAACATCCAGCAAAGATGGCCGGTTACACCAATCACACTCATCCTGAAGAAGGGAACGCTGGTTTGAAGCCACTAATCGTCACAGAAGTCTGTGTCACGGTGCTCATTGCTAGCTAAACTCCCACAGTGCCTCCTCTGGTCTCTACAGGGCTCAACAGTAGGAGGCTCCACCTGGTGGAACAACCAGGTACTACAGCTGATCCTGACACGCACGATCTTCTTCCAATTCTTCCTCATGGCTTAATGTAGCTTAAATCAGTTAAATGTGATTAACATCCTGAACATTTTTATTTTGAATTTAACCACTTTAGCCAGTTTATCAAAGTACGAGACTCCCCACTGCAGGACGGTTCCGGTTCCTGGTGTCTGTTTTATTTATTCATGATGGTTTGCATCAGAATTAAGTGAAACTGCTTATGATGATGTATCTGTTAACTTCATGACCAAAGCCAACTACAGATGCTGCTAGTTTTCACAACAAGTGAAAACATGGCCTCTAGTCTTTTAATCTGCCGTCTGTAGCACGTCACTGATCAGCACCATGTCTGGTTGTTCATACGACCCGAGAACCTGTCAGGTGGAACCGAACACCTCCACTGGTCGCACTCTGACTCAGTTTATCTACCTGGACGCGTCGCCCAGGTTCAGTTCAGATAAATGTGATACGCTTTTCAAACTAACTTCTGGTCTCACAGCTTGTTGAGACCAGAGGCTTCTCTGTGCCGACCGACCGGCGTCCACCCATCCAAGTGGGGCGCCCTGCGACGAACTTTACCGAAGAGCGACAAACGCCGTCGCAGGGAAACGAACGCCGCCGCCGGGCGACAAACGTCACCGCCGCAGGGCGACAAACGTCACCGCAGGGCGACAAACGCCGCCGCCACAGGGCGATGAACGCCGCCGCCACAGGGCGATGAATGCCGTCACAGAGCAACGCTAACGACCAACACGTCACTCCGTCGCTTATGAGAAAATCCCACTGTGTAATTCTGTTTGTTGGTCTGTCTGACCCAATTGTTTGGGATGTTCTGTTCTGACAACAGCTGGCACAGTGTGTGTGTGTGTGTGTGTGTGT